AGTTGAATTGTCATATGTAACAACTTTACACCTGTGTGGCTGTATGTGTGTTCATGGGGTTGCCTCGGATCGGTGCCTAGTTCATGGGTACAAACTCATACCCAGAATTGCAGCGGGAAGTCACCCAAGGTTAGTACACGATTATCCTCATAAAATGAATAATCTTGCAATATGTTACCCAGCTTAAAATGACTAGACAAAACATCACTACGATACAGAACACGAAAGGATAAATAAACGAAACAAATTTACAATAAAAATATTTAATAGTTAAGAACATTAAGCACAGATAAAAAATATATATAATACATTACATAATTACACATTAGTATTCTCTTAGATCACGCCATGTGGAATCAGTCACACAAAGAGAGAGCCATTCACTAATAAAAGACTTCGGTGCTCTGCTCTAGACGATGATCTCGGAGCCGCCGCGGTACTGGAACGGAAGAAGCTGGCTTAACTTGGGGAGAAAATTCCTAGGAAGTGAAGCGATTTGTTCTGAAAGACCTACTGGTAGACCTGGAGACAAACAGCCAGACACAGGCAAAAACAGACACACATACGCACACACAGGCAAAAACAGACAAAGACACAGGAGCACAAACAAAGACAGATAGAGCAAATGTGGAGAAAACGAAGAGGAGGAGGAGAGAGGCGAGGAAGGAGGAGAGAGGCGAGGAAGGAGGAGAGAGGCGAGGAAGGAGGAGAGAGGCGAGGAAGGAGGAGAGAGGCGAGGAAGGAGGAGAGAGGCGAGGAAGGAGGAGAGAGGCGAGGAAGGAGGAGAGAGGCGAGGAAGGAGGAGAGAGGCGAGGAAGGAGGAGAGAGGCGAGGAAGGAGGAGAGAGGCGAGGAAGGAGGAGAGAGGCGAGGAAGGAGGAGAGAGGCGAGGAAGGAGGAGAGAGGCGAGGAAGGAGGAGAGAGGCGAGGAAGGAGGAGAGAGGCGAGGAAGGAGGAGAGAGGCGAGGAAGGAGGAGAGAGGCGAGGAAGGAGGAGAGAGGCGAGGAAGGAGGAGAGAGGCGAGGAAGGAGGAGAGAGGCGAGGAAGGAGGAGAGAGGCGAGGAAGGAGGAGAGAGGCGAGGAAGGAGGAGAGAGGCGAGGAAGGAGGAGAGAGGCGAGGAAGGAGGAGAGAGGCGAGGAAGGAGGAGAGAGGCGAGGAAGGAGGAGAGAGGCGAGGAAGGAGGAGAGAGGCGAGGAAGGAGGAGAGAGGCGAGGAAGGAGGAGAGAGGCGAGGAAGGAGGAGAGAGGCGAGGAAGGAGGAGAGAGGCGAGGAAGGAGGAGAGAGGCGAGGAAGGAGGAGAGAGGCGAGGAAGGAGGAGAGAGGCGAGGAAGGAGGAGAGAGGCGAGGAAGGAGGAGAGAGGCGAGGAAGGAGGAGAGAGGCGAGGAAGGAGGAGAGAGGCGAGGAAGGAGGAGAGAGGCGAGGAAGGAGGAGAGAGGCGAGGAAGGAGGAGAGAGGCGAGGAAGGAGGAGAGAGGCGAGGAAGGAGGAGAGAGGCGAGGAAGGAGGAGAGAGGCGAGGAAGGAGGAGAGAGGCGAGGAAGGAGGAGAGAGGCGAGGAAGGAGGAGAGAGGCGAGGAAGGAGGAGAGAGGCGAGGAAGGAGGAGAGAGGCGAGGAAGGAGGAGAGAGGCGAGGAAGGAGGAGAGGCGAGGAAGGAGGAGAGAGGCGAGGAAGGAGGAGAGAGGCGAGGAAGGAGGAGAGAGGCGAGGAAGGAGGAGAGAGGCGAGGAAGGAGGAGAGAGGCGAGGAAGGAGGAGAGAGGCGAGGAAGGAGGAGAGAGGCGAGGAAGGAGGAGAGAGGCGAGGAAGGAGGAGAGAGGCGAGGAAGGAGGAGAGAGGCGAGGAAGGAGGAGAGAGGCGAGGAAGGAGGAGAGAGGCGAGGAAGGAGGAGAGAGGCGAGGAAGGAGGAGGGAAAGATAAATTGCCTCAATGAATAACAATGAGAAGTCAATAATGCATCTTTGACTTCTCACCTTAATGCAACACTATCGTGTCCTCCTATGAAGTGCTATAACGTAACCTATAACATAGTGTAAACTATATGCAATGTTTAAAGATGCTCACATAATATATACTGCCTATTAAAGCCATAAAGTTTCTACTGGCTTTCCCGAGTGTCTGAAAATGGGCGAGAAATACTATATAAATATATACAACACTAAAGAAAGCAAGGAAATCGAGTTAGGTGCTCTTCCTGATTTTAAAAAAGTGAATAATCGGCTCTTTTCTCCTGATAAAAACCTTGTAGATTTCTTTTAGACTGAACAGCCCCTAATGGCTTGGGGACTTGCACGCCCATTCGCCGATTTTCCGAGATACCAAGCTAAACCCCTCTCTCACTCGCTACAACGAAAAAATAAGGCATTTTCGTTGTACGGCTTCTTCCAAATATATATATAACGGAAAGGCCCCAGGACTCGCTATACCGTTCACCCTTTCTACATCCAGCTCTGGATCCATTCTGGGTTTTATACTATATTTCCTACGCGCCATCATCACGTGTTTCCAGAATCTCATATCAACATTTATTTTTTGTATTATAACATTTCTACGTCCATTCCATGCTGTTAGGATATCATATATTAAAATAATGATAAATGACATCAACAAAATTATTCTCAGCTCAAGAGGCTTTCATCAGACAGGCTCCTTCATGACAAGGTTGAATTCTTTAAGAGCAAACGTATCACACTGTCTACCATTACTGTTCTTCATTGCAGGATTAGCACATCTCTCCTACATAACCTCGCTAATTAACGTGTCGACTCGGAATGATTTTCATTTTCCATCTTCAGGTGTTTTCTTTGCTATGAAAATCTGTGTCTCTTTCATGAATACAATCAATATCGTCGCCAGTGAACGCAAGAGGAAGGAAATCACGGGAAAAAAATAGAAACAAAAAAGCGGGGAAAACCTATTACTTCTGGGAACTTGGCTGCGACTTCAAATGCAAACACAAACTATTGTATTTGTAATTGAGGGAAAGGCGGGGAAGAGAGAGGGAGGAAGGAAGGAAGGAAGGAAGGAAGGAAGGAAGGGGAGAGAGAGAAAGAAAGAGAAACAGAGAGAGAGAAAGAAAGAGAAACAGAAAGAGAAACAGAAAGAGAAACAGAAAGAGAAACAGAAAGAGAAAAAGAGAAACAGAAAGAGAAAAAGAGAAACAGAAAGAGAAAAAGAGAAACAGAAAGAGAAAAAGAGAAACAGAAAGAGAAAAAGAGAAACAGAAAGAGAAAAAGAGAAACAGAAAGAGAAAAAGAGAAACAGAAAGAGAAAAAGAGAAACAGAAAGAGAAAAAGAGAAACAGAAAGAGAAAAAGAGAAACAGAAAGAGAAAAAGAGAAACAGAAAGAGAAAAAGAGAAACAGAAAGAGAAAAAGAGAAACAGAAAGAGAAAAAGAGAAACAGAAAGAGAAAAAGAGAAACAAAGAGAAAAAGAGAAACAGAAAGAGAAAAAGAGAAACAGAAAGAGAAAAAGAGAAACAGAAAGAGAAAAAGAGAAACAGAAAGAGAAAAAGAGAAACAGAAAGAGAAAAAGAGAAACAGAAAGAGAAAAAGAGAAACAGAAAGAGAAAAAGAGAAACAGAAAGAGAAAAAGAGAAACAGAAAGAGAAAAAGAGAAACAGAAAGAGAAAAAGAGAAACAGAAAGAGAAAAAGAGAAACAGAAAGAGAAAAAGAGAAACAGAAAGAGAAAAAGAGAAACAGAAAGAGAAAAAGAGAAACAGAAAGAGAAAAAGAGAAACAGAAAGAGAAAAAGAGAAACAGAAAGAGAAAAAGAGAAACAGAAAGAGAAAAAGAGAAACAGAAAGAGAAAAAGAGAAACAGAAAGAGAAAAAGAGAAACAGAAAGAGAAAAAGAGAAACAGAAAGAGAAAAAGAGAAACAGAAAGAGAAAAAGAGAAACAGAAAGAGAAAAAGAGAAACAGAAAGAGAAAAAGAGAAACAGAAAGAGAAAAAGAGAAACAGAAAGAGAAAAAGAGAAACAGAAAGAGAAAAAGAGAAACAGAAAGAGAAAAAGAGAAACAGAAAGAGAAAAAGAGAAACAGAAAGAGAAAAAGAGAAACAGAAAGAGAAAAAGAGAAACAGAAAGAGAAAAAGAGAAACAGAAAGAGAAAAAGAGAAACAGAAAGAGAAAAAGAGAAACAGAAAGAGAAAAAGAGAAACAGAAAGAGAAAAAGAGAAACAGAAAGAGAAAAAGAGAAACAGAAAGAGAAAAAGAGAAACAGAAAGAGAAAAAGAGAAACAGAAAGAGAAAAAGAGAAACAGAAAGAGAAAAAGAGAAACAGAAAGAGAAAAAGAGAAACAGAAAGAGAAAAAGAGAAACAGAAAGAGAAAAAGAGAAACAGAAAGAGAAAAAGAGAAACAGAAAGAGAAAAAGAGAAACAGAAAGAGAAAAAGAGAAACAGAAAGAGAAAAAGAGAAACAGAAAGAGAAAAAGAGAAACAGAAAGAGAAAAAGAGAAACAGAAAGAGAAAAAGAGAAACAAAGAGAAAAAGAGAAACAAAGAGAAAAAGAGAAACAAAGAGAAAAAGAGAAACAGAAAGAGAAAAAGAGAAAGAGCAAAAAGTCAGAAAGCGAGGGGCCTGAAGCATCGAGGCCGACTGACCGAGAGCCTGAAGGAGCGGACGGCCAACACGAAGTAGAGCTGCACGATGGCCATGGCGATGCTGGCGATGCCGTCCGGTAGGTTGTCTATAGCGACGAGGAGGAGGCAGCCGTAGATGAAGGCGGCGACGGCGACGACGGACGTGTTCCAGTTCCATACGCAGAGCAGTTCCATTTTTTCCTGCGCGGGGAGAGAGAGAAAAAAAAAGGTTACCTGTAATACCTTCCTCTAACGGAATCAGAACAAAGTTGGTAACGTTATGGTTTTCATCCTTCTATCAAATCTCCTTTTTTTCTTTTCTTTTCTTTTACAACCTTAACTTACATTCCAGACTACGTGTTAAATAAAAAAGACGAAAACGAAGGACCAGAAGCCTTACCCTCAAAACAGCGAAGAGGAGCATGACGGCCAGAGGGATGTTGATGACTTCGACCAGCGCGCCAAACAAGGCTTCGTTCCTGCCTGGGGAAAGGCGAGAGGTGGGACTGTAGACATCGGCGCATCTCGGTTTAGAGGAAATGATAGCTTTTCATTTAATGTGGACGGAGGGGTGGGTGGAGGGACGGACGGAGGGACTGAGGGACGGAGGGACTGAGGGACGGACGGAGGGACTGAGGGACGGACGGAGGGACTGAGGGACGGACGGACGGAGGGACGGACGGACGGAGGGACGGACGGACGGAGGGACGGACGGACGGAGGGACGGACGGACGGAGGGACGGACGGACGGAGGGACGGACGGACGGAGGGACGGACGGACGGACGGAGGGACGGACGGACGGAGGGACGGAGGGACGGACGGAGGGACGGACGGACGGACGGAGGGACGGACGGACGGACGGACGGACGGACGGACGGACGGAGGGACGGACGGACGGACGGAGGGACGGACGGACGGACGGAGGGACGGACGGACGGAGGGACGGAGGGACGGAGGGACGGACGGAGGGACGGACGGACGGACGGACGGACGGACGGAGGGAGGGACGGACGGACGGACGGACGGAGGGAGGGGTGGAGGGAGGGAGAGAGGGGTGGATGGGTTGGTTGGAGTTAAACCCTAACAGATGCGATCCGTATTGTGAACTTTTCGCATGTTAAACTCCCACCAGCGCCCCTTTAGCTTCAGTGCCTCGTATTATAAAAATTCTCACTTTTTTTTACACTCTTTTCATGAACCTCATTCCCTCTACAGCCGTTTTTCATTCCTTTTCATTTCCCTCCTCACCCTATTTCTACTTACCATGACAGACGTTTGTCACAGCGTACACAAGTCTCAGTATGGATACACACTGCAAAGGAAATACAATGAAAAATTAAACACATCTGGGTTTATCTGTACAATACATACATGTTTATCATATATTAAAGAGATAGATAGATGGACAGATATGGATATACACATTCGTGTATACGTAGTATATGCATACATGCACACATACATATGCAAATATGTAATTATGTAAATGTAAATATGTGACTCAGTGTGCGTGCGCGTGTTCGTACTCTACCGCGCCTTTGCCTTACCATCATAACGACAGCGATCGTGAGGGCCCCATCGCGCAGGGAGATGCCGCACACGCAACTGCTGATGGTACAACACTGGCGCGCCATGGCTGCTACTGCTCAGTTCTGGGGGAGAAAACTTCCGATTTAGGCGCCGGGAGGCTGATAACTTTTCATCGAGTAATAGTTTCTGCATTAGTGTAGCTGGTAGTATCCCTGGGGGTTAATCTTTACGGGATGGACGCGCTAAGCCGTTGCGTATTGAAGATGACGTTCTTGTAGACGACAAATAAAGGAAAAAATGCGTCGCTCACAGTTTACTCGGCGCTCGCGAGTTCCAGCTTTATTTTGCTTTCTATTCAGAGGACAATGTTTGTCGAAGGCTCTGCCACCCCCCCCTCATCAACCCTCCCAACGGGCAGTGCCCAAAGAGCACGACCAGCCACGAAAAATTAGACTGTTACATAAATTATGTGACACCTACAAAACTCCCGCAGTCTTTATCAAAACGTATTTTTTTCACGTGGGTTCTATTCAATGTGTGTTATAGGAGACACTACCTACAATCATTAGTCCGTGCACCGTCGAGCAATCGCCTCGGCCTCCGAGGCAACAGGCTCTGCGTTGTCCATTTCGGAAGACCGCTTAAAGTGCCTCCTCTTTGGCATTAAAGTTTATTGTGTATGCCGTTGTGCAATATATCTGCCTATCCTCTCTCTCTCTCATATAAAGCTCTTGGGCCAGACTTGTAGAACGTCTGATGTGCATCCTTGCTCATTTACACATTCATGAAGCAGTATCGTTTACTTTCATCACGCGTCCTACTCTGGATAATTACCCCAGTAACAAAATCGCGGGTGTTTAGTGACATTTTCCAAAGCAAGAAGCTATGACTGTCCCGTCACTGGATACAAAATTAACATGCAATCGAGCTACATATTTGACTCTCAGCATGACTATAGTTATTAATCATGATGTATCACGACATTACTTACACTCATGTTAATTAAAACGCCAACTAAAAGTGTGAAAAGTTGGTGGAAACCTATGTTGCCAAGAACGATGAAATTAATATTTCCAACAATTCTGTACTGGAATTTCATATGTTGATGCGTCTCGTATATTGCCAGTCTAAGAAAAGGCTGAAAAGAGGGAGCAGTTCATATACACATTTTCGTATTTGTCACATTTCCACTTATATATACATCTCTTACTTTCCTTCACCACTATCAAGAATGTCAAGCACCGTATTGGAAGTATGTCAACATGTGACGCCTTGGAATCGGCTGCGTTTTCTAGTCTCTTCCGAA